ACACTATGCCCTTTAATGTAGAAGCGAAAATTTTGTTTAGGATTTAAAACAAACAAGAACAATATCAAGATTTTACTTAGCCTACTTTCTTTAACTTACTTGAGAATGCGTCAACAAAAACAAAGATCCAAATAGAACAATAGGGGATGCATCTATCTATCTATCTATCTATCTATATATATATATATATATATATATATAGACTCTTAGACCTTAAAAGAAACAAGAAAAAAGCACGAAAGAAAGAGAGGAAAAAATGAAGAGAAAATTGAGAAGAGAATGAATATCGAGTGCAATATTATTTTAAATAGCCAACGCCTATAATCATCAAGCATACTTGATTATAATTGTATTATTATTACATTAGTTGAAGAACAAAATGATGACGAAGAAAAAACAACGCCCTTTTTTCACTATCAGTCTACACGGAGAGAAAATTTCATTAAGCTTTTTTCAAGAATTAAATGTCACATACCACTACTTTTGGCATGCCCTAGAGTGAATCAAATTCGTATTTTTGACATTTCTGTCTAATCGGATAATAAGTTGTGATCAAAATTTTTTGATTGATCGAACTAGCATAAACATGTAATTTAGCGTTGTAAATATCTCGATAGAAATTAGTCTATTTTTGATGAAATTTTAGACATTCTAGCGACGACGAGATCTATGTATAAGTGAAATCTGAGGTATAAATTGAATAAAGTTTATGCTCAAGAAACATCTTTCTGTGTTAAATATACACCTCAGTCTTATTAATTGCTCTTGGATAAAATTTTAGCAGTAGCGAGAATAGAAGTTGACATTCAATAAAGACAACCATTATCCTTCTATTCGAGCGTATCTTACGATGATTAAGTATTTATCGTGACATTTATCCTAGCACAATATATCTGTACGAAATAATGTGCATATTTCAGGTATTTTTTATTTGTTTACAATCCTTTCTTATCGACAAGGTTATGAATGGGTTCACGCATGATTGTTCTCGATGATTGACAAAAAGACACTGAAAAGAATAATTTTAAAGAAAGAACATTTGAGTGTCTGATAAAACAACGAATGTCAAAATGAAAATGTAACATCTGAAATATTAAGTTGTCTATTATAGCTCCGACTGTTCTTCACTGAACATGTTTCCCTGTTTTCCTTCGATTCTATTGCAATTTTTTTGTTAGCCTGTTCTTCGACTTCGTTTATTGTCAAGAATTTTTTTGTTCTTTATTCTCTCTCCGTACGCTTATTCATTTATATACGTAAAAAACGATTCACTATAGTTCGTTCTTCGACTTTCTTTTCATAGAGTCGTAATCACAAATAGATGTTGTATCTTTTTTGCTCATTCCAGTTATCTATTGTATATTAGGTCTTGAATACTCCAAATACAAAGAACTCGTGAAAAAAAAATTTTCAGAAAAACCTATTTAAAATCGACTATTTTACAGTTAATCTGAAAAATCATTCTTTCGAGTTTTGTTGTATTAAAGTTGCATTCAAATCAAGACTTTATTCTAATATACTTGTAATCAATCGTAATCGATTAGACTATTACTTGATTTCTTTGACGAATAGTTTAAGAAAATGATTTTAATCGATTACAAGAATAATCAGCTATAGCCTATCAGATGTTTAATCGTTTCTCAGGGAAATAATGATCAATTGCCTTTGGATCTCAGTATGACATTCAGCAAACTAGACCAGAATTTTCGTTATCACATCTTTATAGAAAAGTTTTTGGAGTCTTATCCTAGTCTTTGGTTTAGTTGTTCTTCTTTCATGTCGGAGAAAGTTCATATCTGGAAGTCAAGAGAATCAATTGCGTTTTTTAATTAAATGTTTCTCTCAGTCATTTGGTCTCTGATCTAGTCAGCAACCCTTAATCGAGATGAAATAATTTTAAAGATTGCAAGAGTTAAATGTATGTCTTCGGTTTCAATTTCATATTATCGAAAACAATGATTTGATACTTCCATATCAGCTGATCTTCAATGAGCTTTTGTATCAGCTTAGTCTTTTGATAAGAGCCAATCGGCTGGATCTTTTAAGAGAAATTAAGACGGATGATCAACTCTTGAAACAAATGAATCAAAAAAATTCTTTTGCAAAAAGTACCATCGAGAGTTGAAATAATGATTACATCTGCAACTCATCGATAATGTTGGTAAAAGTGTAGAAGGTGAAAGCGCTCATGTTTGTGCTGAAGAGACTATAATACTTTCTTTTCAAAATCAAGCAATGAGACACTAACGAATGGAATTAAGATATTCATATGTGATTCAATTACGTTTCGATCTCTTCTACATACTTTGTTGTCTTTTGTTTCAAGCATTCTTAAATGGTAACCGGCAAGATGCTCCCCAGAGATATGCTCCCCGGATAGTTGCTCCCCGGACATTTGCTCCCCAGTGACACTTGCTCTCCGGGCATTTTCTTCCCAGAGACACTTGCTCCCCTGACACTTGATCCTGGAACAGTAATTCCACAGCAGTGTGATTCATACAAAAGCCCAAAGCAATTTTTCAAGAGTTCCTTATTAAAACAAACTATGGGGCAATTAAGTGAGTTAGGAATCCACGTGGAATCAAAGAATCTATTGGAAATTCAATAATTGATTTCGAATTTATCATCAGTCTCATTGAATGTTCATCAATTAATGACAAAAGCAAATATATAATTAAACATCTACTAGAGGATGTGGAAAAAATTAATTCGTAACATACAAGAGATCAGAAAGAGAACCGCCATAAAAAGAAAACAAACAACGCAACACTGTTCTTATTTGCATAATCATTTTTCAAAGCTATGCATCTATTGTAACATTTTTACTTCGTCCAATTAGTTATATGTGTGACATGAGAGATGATTTAATTAAGCATGTGCAGAATTTTTACGATGCAAAATTTGTACATAATTGTTTTCTTTGATAGCGACAGTATGTATAAAAAATGAATAACAAATAAGTGTTGATACAGGTCATATACACAATTACGGAGCAAACATTGATTAGTCTAAACAATTTTGTATAGTATATAATTTTTGTAAATTTACTTGCGTCAATAGACTTTTGATTTGTGCCCCAACATTTTATCTGATAATCATATCAACGTTCTTTTTTACGGTGATAAACATTTTTTTTATTATATTATGGAAACTTTTAAAGGAAACCATTATTTGAACATCAAGGTTATCTCTATACTGTAAATAAACAATCAGGTGACAAGGTGATATGGTGTTGCCGTAATTATCGACATGGTCAATGTCGCGGTCGACTTCATACAATCAACAATCAAGTTATTCAAATAATTGGTAATCACAATCATGAACCAAACAGTTCGACTGGGCAAGTAGCTGCAGCACGTACACAAATGAGTGATGCAGCCAAACAAAGTAGTCTGACAACACATACTATTGTAGCTGACGCTGTGTCCAAATTATCTGATAATACTATCTCATCATTACCAAATTTACTAAAAAATCTTAAACGCAATGTTCGAAGAATCCGACAACGAAGTCAAAATCCATTATCATTATCAACAACTCGTGATTCCATTGTCATTGATCTGCAGTTCACAATAACAGCTCGCAATCGAACATTTTTACATTTCGATTCGGGATCCATCTATCAACGTATATTAATATTTTCAACAAAAAGACAATTAAAAATATTGGAAAATGCAAATTATATATATTTAGATGGTACATTTAGTGTAGTTACAGAGTTGTATTTCCAATTATATACAATTCATGCTACATATTTAAGTCATATATTACCAGTTGTTTATATATTGCTGCCAGGTAAGCATGACTTAGTAAATCTTGTAATTCTTCCATCGATGTTTCTCTATTTAATTTAGGTAAGAAACAACGTTTATATAAAGAAATGTTTCAACAGATAAAGAATTCAATACCAAATTTTGATCCACCAAATATTATGATTGATTATGAACGTGCAACTATTAATGAAATTCAAAAACAGTTTCCAAGTTCAAACTTATCCAGATGTTTTTTCCATTTATGTCAAAATGTTTATCGTGCTGTTATACGTTTTGGCTTAAAGACAGTATATAGTGAAAATGAAGATTTTGCAAAACAAATTCGCTCATTACCAGCATTAGCACTGTTACCTGTTCCTGATGTAATTCCTACATTTGATGAAATAAAGGCGCAATTTCCAGCAGAAGGTGAACCTGGATTAAAATATTTTGAAGAATATTATATAGGTGTCAAAGATCGTTTATCACGGCCAAGAAAAGCAGCAAAATTTGATATATTATTATGGAATGTAAATGACAACACAATTCAAGGTCAACATCGGACAAATAACGCTGTGGAGTGCTGGAATAACAGATTCGCGTCGTTAATAAATTGCAGCCACCCAAATTTTTGGAAATTTTTACATGATTTAAAAAAAGAACAAAGTTATGTTGAAGGTGAAATTATACAAGCAATAGCTGGTGTTAGAAAATCGAGAAGAATACATCAAATACGCCAAGAAACACGTATTCTGAACATCATGAATGAACCAACAATAACCAATTTTGAAAAAGTTATGGCTTTAGCTCATATTATTTCGTTAAAAAAGTCATAATATATGTTGTATATTATTTTTATAATTCATGACTCATGGTACTTCTTAGTTGTAAATATTAACATGTTGTTTTTTTCGTAATAATAATAGTTTTCTTACATTGTTTTTGTTCATTTATAATTGTGCTGTAAGTTATGCTTACATTTTTGAATATTGATAACATAAGTTGTATATTATTGTATCTTTTATTTCTTTATTTAAAGTAAATAAATTTATATCATAATATTGCGCTGATTAACGCTTTTGTTAAATATGGTTAGGCAGCAAATGACGTTTTGAAGCAAGTGTATGAGGAGAAATTGTCTAGGAAGCAAGTGCCCGGAGAGCAACTATCCTGGGAGCAAGTGTCCCTGGGGAGCAAGTGTCCCTGGAGAGCAAGTGCCCGGAGAGCAACTATCCTGGGAGCAAATGCCTCTGGGGAGCATCTTGCCGAGATTCTTCTAAAATGGCGAGTTTGACAGGAACAATGACTGAAGCGACTGAATTCTACATAAGTGAAAAAAAGACAGTGTTTTATGCATAATTATGCCACATTTCAGTCAATTGAGGATAGAAAATTGTCTATTAGCTAAGTATAGTGAAATATGGTTGTGGTAAAAATTTCATGCAAAAAGGATCAAAAGTTAAATAGACTTCACTTGGTATTAGAACTTTTGACCATAATTATATTTTGACTTTCCAACTTTCTGTAAAACATAATCCATAATTTTGATTTAGAATTGA